CCCCCAAAAAAAAATACCCAAGAAAAAACAAACCCGTAACAAACATCGATCTAAATTGTGCCGATATATGCATAAAACACCCACATTCAGGGGAAAAAAAGTTTTGGTAGTTCAGACTAAATTGGTCTTAAACCAGGGAGAGAATCGATCTACAACCTTTTACGAGGCTACTAAACGCTCTCACAAGACCACATAGGAGTAAACGATTACAGCCACTGAATCAGCTTGTGATTAAGAAGAGTTGAGAGAATACCATTAGAAATTCCATGCATACAAATGTGTACTTGAAAGAAGGCAATCGAAGATAGATATCGCAAACAAGATGACTCAGACCAGTCCTACCATATTATGTACACAGTTCGTGAACTAGTTGAAATTTGTGTGCCATTGTGATTAAAAAATCCTCCTCAAAATTATGAAATCGAAGAAACGTACATTTTCCCATCCGTTAGATAATTTTCATCGAAATCATTTACATTTTTTGAAAAGCGTGAACGGTTTGGGGGGGGGGGGGACTAAACACCTTCTATTTCCATTAAAAAATATATTTCTACGTGGATCTTACTGAAAACCGTTGATCAAAGGGACAACAGATTAAGATTTGCAGTTTCCGAAGCCACTCATGCCTTAGAAGTCACCAAACTTTGGAGGCTGATTTCTCGGTGATTTTACCCCTGAAACCAGAGGACCACCACCTCCTCCTTCAATCGTAGATGTCTTGATTTCCATTCAAGATAGATGGGTATTTTTTTCAACTTAAGCAAGGCAAATGAAAAGGCTTTACGTTTCCACCAATAACTCCATGTGCCCAAAATTGACGAGCGCCTGATTCCACCGTGTCGTGACACATTGTTGACTGATTGCCATACCGTATACTTTACTCAGAGAGTAACAGTCGAGTAAGAATAATAATAAAATAACACGACATTAATCCCTTCTGTTTACTAACTTCAACAGGCATTTTTCAGTGACGCAATACCTCATTTAGCCACATATCCAATCATAGTAGGACAAAGAATGTTGACCTTAATTTCGTCTTGTTTGTTTTTGTTTTTTAGTAGTTTAGTATGGGGTTTTACGGCGCTCGCAACTGCATAAGGTTATAAGAGCGCATGTTTTTGTTTTGGTATGTGTTTTACGGCAATTGCAACTACATAAGGGCATAATATGAGAGTGCGGAATGTTTGGGAGGAGTTAATTTAAGATTTGCCCGGGCGGCGGCAACTTTCACACAGGGCCTTCGAGATTCTTCGAAACAAGCAAAGAACCCATACAAACAAACAAAGGTACAAAAAAAGAGAATATTCTGAAAATAATAGGCCTGTTAAAAATATTGTCGAAAGAGTGAGCCGTAAGAATTAGAAAGAGACAAAAAATAGATAGATAGACAGATAGATAGATAGATAGATAGACAGATAAATAGATAGATAGATAGATAGATAGATAGATAGATAGATAGATAGATAGATAGAGAGAGAGATAGAT